AAGCACTAGCATACTTTTCTCGTCAATTCCCTCATCATCCAATCTCTGCACAGTATGCAGTAGAGGTGCTAAGTTGGTATCCAGCAGATGCTGTACTTTTCTACATACCGCAACTTGTACAAGCTGTGCGACATGATACCATGGGTTATGTGATAGAATTTATCAAAAAGATTGCTAAACGTTCTCAAGTGAGTGTTGGAAACATTAGTTCAAAAATACTATTAAATTCTTTATTTGCTTAAAAACTTGAAATGTCATTTTTATTGTTGATGTTGTACAGGTAGTAGCACATCAATTAATTTGGAATATGTATACAAATATGTACATAGATGAAGATAAAACAATAAAAGATCCTGTTCTCTACGATATATTAGATTCACTCACGAAAAATATTTTGGCATCGTTATCTGGTCCAGCGAAGCAATTCTATGAAAGGGAATTTGACTTTTTCGAAAAGATTACTAATATTTCTGGCGAAATAAGACCATACCCTAAAGGTCCTGAACGTAAAGCAGCATGTTTGAAAGCATTGTCAAAAATCAAAGTACAACCCGGTTGTTATTTGCCATCGAATCCTGAAGCTATGGTAATTGATATAGATTATAATAGTGGAACTCCTATGCAGAGGTAAATACGACAGTCTGAATTATTTGTTTATAATGTGTAGCATTGCAGACATTAGTATTCAATGTAACATTATTATTTATAGTGCTGCAAAAGCACCATTTTTAGCATGCTTCAAAGTACAAAAATATGGAATTAACGAATTAGAAAATATTGCATTAGCAGTATCAGCTAACGGTAAAGCGGACATGAAAAGAGAACTAGATAAAGAGACATGGCAAGCTGCTATTTTTAAAGTCGGTGATGATGTTAGACAGGATATGTTAGCCTTGCAAGTGATCAGTATTTTCAAGAATACATTTCAAAAAGTTGGATTAAATCTATTCTTGTACCCATATAGAGTAGTGGCTACAGCACCTGGGGTAAGTGATTTTGCATTTGTAAGAAAAATTAATTTTAATGCAAATTCTTTACAAATGCGCATTTCAGTGTGGTGTTATAGAATGTGTACCGAACGCGACATCACGCGATCAACTTGGCCGAACTACCGACATTGATATGCATCAATATTTCATCACACGTTACGGAGATGAAACGACGAAGGAATTTCAGAATGCGCGACGCAATTTCGTAAAGTCAATGGCTGCCTACAGCGTCATTACGTATCTTTTACAAATAAAAGATCGTCACAATGGCAACATTATGTTGGACACCGAAGGTCACATTATACATATCGACTTTGGATTCATGTTTGAAAGTTCACCTGGTGGTAATCTGGGCTTTGAACCTGATATTAAGCTTACTGATGAAATGGTGCTCGTGATGGGAGGTAAAATGGAGGCCGCGCCTTTTCGTTGGTTCATGGAATTATGTGTACAGGCTTTCCTTGCAGTAAGGTAAATGGATGAAATTTTTTTTATTAATAATAGCTGCTTGACTTATAAAAAGTTTTTAAATTTTGAAACTTAATATGGACTTAATTTATTTTCTTTTTCAATCGTTTACGACGTTATTTGGGATAATAGTTCTTTTTACAGAAGTTTTGATCAATTAAACTGTTATTTTACAGACCATACCAAGAGGCAATTATTTCTCTGGTTTCTTTAATGCTTGATACAGGATTGCCATGTTTCCGTGGACAAACGATAAAGCTTTTACGCAGCAGATTCGTGCCGACAGCTACTGATCGCGATGCAGCGGCCTATATGCTCAATGTAATACGTAACAGCTACCTCAATTTCCGTACGAAAACTTACGACATGATACAGTATTATCAAAATCAAATTCCTTATTAAATTACTGTTTCTAAGTGACTTCCGTTCACAATTGTTAATTTATAAGAAAGAAATTAATTATTTCTGCAAAGATTGTTGAGCCGTGTACTCACCGTGTACTATATTGTTAGATGCAGCAACGTGAAATTTGCTGCTTGTACAAACCCCTCAGTGTCAATGTTATTCTTAGATTCGCATAAATTTTATGAAAACATTATGCTCTGTATGTATGTAACAATAATGTATTATAAACTGGAAAATTAATCTATATGCCTGCCTACAGGCTGAAAATGTGTATATTAAAAAACATTCCTCTGTTTATTATTTATGTACTGTTACCAGTTAAACATTAAATGGGAAAGTCATTAAATAATATTTAATTTATTTATAAGCGACTTATTAATATTACTACATGCACAATTCTTTATTTACATAAACTTTATATGTGATACACCACAAATGAAGTGTTACTAATACTTATGAATATTTTATTTCATTTATTCATCCTTCAACCGTAGTTTTTTCAAGGGATTCATGATCAGATTAGCGGAACTAGTCCTAAAATAAATTTAATGTATATCATATAATAAAAAGTTAAATACTCTATATATCTAAAATATTAAGACTAATCAAGTACAATGTTTTATTCATTTTAATGTTTATTTTGTATATGTGAAAATTAAAAACAATTACCTTTCTTGTAACTGATTGCTGGAAAATATTTCAATTGGTGGTTGCACAAGACGTCTCACATCACGAGTGTAATAATATACATTTGAAGATTTATGGTATGGCCCACCAGGTACATCTGGAGGTGGTTGTGTACGTTTAGCAACATGATCTGCATGCCTTAAAGACTCTGTAATTCTTTTCTGTAAAGTTAATTTCTCTTCAAGTAAATGTTTTCTTTATATTACCATCATATATGATGCACACAACTTTGGTATTGTCATTTTTTAAATAAATATACCGTCAACAAAGGTTAATTGTAATCGTAATTTCTACAGTCTCAAAAAAATTAAATTTAACTTTATTGGGCAGTTATAGCCAATGATATTTCATATATCTACTACACAAAAAATATTTTTAATATAAATATCAATGAAAAAAACAAAAAGTTACGTAATATCTAAAAAAAAATAAGTAACAAGGAATATAAATCGAATTCATTGAAGGTTACTCACACGTCTCGCTATATTTCGAATTAATTTTACAATCGGAGTAACTGAGCGACGTTCTACGGGCATTTTTATTTCTTAATTAATAGTTTAATTTCAAAGTAATAAATAAATCACTTCCACTGCGAATCGCAATGTACACTATACTGAACACTAAACTTAAACATTATTACTTGTCATCTCGATCTTGAATTTTGATAATTAATCGCAATGTCGATTATCGATAATCGTTATTTTCGAGAGTTAAATTGTAATGTTTCAAATTACTTCAGACAACTTTTTATAGAGCCAAAATAAAAAAAAACGTATTTTATATACGAAATTACTAGTAATTCAAAATTATTTTCAAATCTTGTATATATATAAAAGTACAAATTACAAATATACTTCTCAAATATCTTCACTAAATT